TGGAACTGAAAATACAGAAACAAAATTACATCGATAGATAAAAGGGATTATCATCAAATCACTGAGAGAGAGGATCAACACTTGTTTTCATTCCTTATAGCATATACAAGGGATAGATTGTGCCATTTTCAATACTGATTTTTTTTGGAAACATTAGAATCGGTCCTTGGATAAGTGCCCTTCTCAACCTCGAGAGAGTACCTTACACAAGCTGATATAAGTGCCCTTCTCAATATCGAGAGAGTACTTTACACAAACTGATGGTTAGTTAAAGATAAGTTATTATCTACAAAGTTCTATCTGATTTATTTGTCCAAAAATCTTAACTGATCCCTACACCCTTGTTTTCTTTTAAATTAATTATTTGGATATTTAGTCTTAAATTACCAAACCAAAAACAATTCTTCGAACTCGCCATCTGAAATCTAATCTTTTTCTGGACTTTATATAAAACTTTTAACACTTTTTTCCCCRTGGATCGATATGCGGTATCTTACCTTTTTTTGTTACTTGTAAAAGACGACAGTGGATTGATACGTGTATACTTGCATGGGTCTCCATTTGCACAAAGTCTGAGAGATTTTATCTTCATATAAATCTCGCAACAAGTTTTTGGCACCGCTGCCGAGGACTAAGGCAAAGATAAAGATTTTATTAAGTAAATTAAAAGATTTGATTTTTCTATCATTTCGTCATGCCAAGGCTACCACACAAGGAGATTTTTAAATTTGATTCCAGACATTGAAAAGACTTTTAGAAAAAAAAGAGGAGCGCAAAGAGCATTAACTGCTTTAACCTCTTCCAAAATGGCTAAAGATCAACCTCCCCTAACTGACGCTGAAAAAATCAAGCTGGCAAATTCCAAAGATGGAAGAATTATGGACTATGCCATTTCTGTTTTTGATCAATTGAACTCAGGAATAGCTAGACCAAAATGGACGCCCTTCATTTTGAGCTAAAAGCAATGATGTTTAATATGTTGCAAACCAATGGTCAGTTCAGTAGTTTTCCATTTGAGGATCCACCATGACATGGACGTTGAGGCAGCTACCGATGCTTGGGAAAGATTTAAAGAGCTTTTGAGAAAATGCCTTCACCATGACATTCCCTACTGTATACAACTTGAGACATTTTACAATGGTTTAAATATCACTGCAAGACAAATGCTCGATGCTACTGTAGGAGAAGATTTCACTGCCAGTAGTTACAAGATGGATATGATATTATGGAAAAGATTTCCAACAACAATGGTCATTGGGGCCGATCCACATGCACTAGTACCACGCAAGAAAGCTGGAATTCATGATGTAGATGCATTAACGACACAAATGACTGCGATGACCAATTTATAGAAAAATTTAACAACTAATCAAGCAGCCCAATCTGTCGCCACGACATCCACTTCAATTGTTGAGTCAATACAATGTGTGTATTGTGGTGAGGGACATTCCTTTGAATATCGTCCATCCAACTCAGAATCAATAAATTATGTGGGAAATAAAAAAAAGCAGGATCATTTTCTCAAACATACAATGCTGGCTGGAGACAACACCCAAAATTTTCATGGAACAGTCCTGCTTAAACCCACCAATGAACAAACCACAAGGGAACTCTAATTTTCAACCATCATAAGAACCTCAACACAAGTACCAAAGCTAGTCTCAAAACTCACCAACAAAATTTTCATCAACAACCATGTCCATGATCTTTTCATATTAATCCTAACCAGCAAGCTGAGTCATCTACTTCGTTAGAAGCAATTTTGAAAAGGTTCATCACCCAAACCAACTCATCCATGAACAATCAGAATGCCACAATAAGATCACTAGAGACACAAATAAGTCAACTTGCACTTAATATAAGGATTAGACCTGCAGGTACCCTTCTTAGTGATACAGAGACCCTAAGGCCTATAATGAAGGAATATGTGAAGGTAGTGCCTTTAACGAGTGAAAAGGAATTGATAGAAAGTGAACCTTTGAAAAAGCCTGTTGAGTCATCCAAAGCACCAACTGAAAATGATGTTACAACACCCACTCTGAATGTTGCCACACCTATTTTGAAAGATAAGGGAAATCAATAGACATAGGGACACTCCCTAAGAAAGTTKCCTTTCCTTTATTATTTCCAAATGAGGGCAAAAAGAAGGTRTCATTTCAGGATGAAGCTTCAAGATCTTTCACAAACACTGACACTCCTGGCACATCACCTGTCACACCCATAGTCAAACCAACCAACACTCAAGCATCTTTAGACCAGTCCCCTAAGAAAGCCATTGTAGCTCCWATTCCTTCTTATGTACCTTTTCTACAAAGGTTGAAAAATCAAAAAGAGRAGATACAATTCAACAAGTTCGTAGATGTGTTCAAACAACTACATATCAACATTTCGTTGGTTAAAGCTATTGAACACATTCCAAGTTATGGAAAATTTCT